ATAGAGGCAGGATAGCTCCACCAATATTATAGGAGAGGCTAGCTCTATCACAGTCGTAGAGGCAGGATGGCTCCACCATTATTATAAGAGAGGCTAGCTCCATCACAGTCGTAGAGTCAGAATAGCTCCACCTTTATTATAGAAGAGGTTAGCTTCTTCACAATCGTAGAGGCAGGATATCTCCACCATTATTATAGGACATGCTAGCTCCATCACTTTCGTAGAGGCGGGATACCTCCACCATTATTATAGGAGAGGCTAGATTTATCACAGTCGTAGAGCCAGGATAGCTCCATCAATATTATAGTAGAGGCTAGCCCTATCACAGTCGTAGAGGCAGGATGGCTCCACCATTATTATAGGAGAGGCTAGATTTATCACAGTCGTAGAGGCAGGATAGCTCCAACATTATTATAGGATAGGCTAGCTTTATCACAGTCATAGAGGCAGGATAGCTCCACCAATATTATAGGCGAGGCTAGATTTGTCACAGTCGTAGAGGCATGATAGCTCCACCATTATTATAGGAGAGGCTAGCTTTATCACAGTCATAGAGGCAGGATAGCTCCACCAATATTATAGGAGAGGCTAGCTCTATCACAGTCGTAGAGGCAGGATGGATCCTTCATTATTATAGGAGAGGCTAGCTCCATCACACTCGTAGAAGCAGGATAGCACTGCCCTTATTATAGAAGGGGCTAGATGCATCACAGTCGTGGAGACAGGATAGCTCCACCATTAGTATATGAGATGCTAGCTCTATCACAGTCATAGAGGCAGGATAGCTCTACCATTATTATAGTAGAGGCTAGCTCCATCACAGTCATAGAGGCAGAATAGCTCCTCCATTATTATATGAGAGGCTAGATGCATCACAGTCGTAGAGACAGGATCGCTAGACCATTAATATAGGAGAGGCATGCGCCACCACAGTCATAGAGGCAGGATAGCTCCACCATTATTATAGGAGAGGCTAGCTCCGTCATAGTTGTAAAGGCAGGATTGCTCCACCACCATTATTATAAGAGAGGCTAGACCCATCACAGTCGTAGAGGCAGAATAGCTCCACCATTATTATATGAGAGGCTAGCTCCATCACAGTCGTAGAGGCGGGATAGCTCTGCCATTATTATAGGAGAGGTTAGCTTCATCACAGTCGTAGAGGCAGGATAGCTCCACCACTATTATAGGACAGGCCACCTCCGTCAATTCCATAGAAGCGGATAGCTCCACCATTATTATAGGAGAGGCTAGCTTCATCACAGTCGTAGAGGCAGGATAGCTCCATCAGTTTTAAAGGAGATGCTAACTCTATCACAGTCGTAGCGGCAGGTTATCTCCACCTTTATTATAGGACATGATAGCTCGACCATAGTTGTAGAGGCAGTATAGCTCCACCATTATTATAGGAGAGGCTAGCTTTATCACAGTCATAGAGGCAGGATAGCTCCACCAATATTATAGGAGAGGCTAGCTCTATCACAGTCGTAGAGGCAGGATGGCTCCACCATTATTATAAGAGAGGCTAGCTCCATCACAGTCGTAGAGGCAGGATAGCTCCACCATTATTATAGGACAGGCTAGCTCCATCTCTTTCGTAGAGGCGGGATACCTCCACCATTATTATAGGAGAGGCTAGATTTATCACAGTCGTAGAGCCAGGGTAGCTTCACCAATATTATAGGAGAGGCTAGCCCTATCACAGTCGTAGAGGCAGGATGGCTCCACCATTATTATAGGAGAGGCTAGATTTATCACAGTCGTAGAGGCAGGATAGCTCCACCATTATTATGGCATAGGCTAGCTTTATCACAGTCATAGAGGCAGGATAGCTCCACCAATATTATAGGAGAGGCTAGCTCTATCACAGTCGTAGAGGCAGGATGGATCCTTCATTATTATAGGAGAGGCTAGGTCCATCACACTCATAGAGGCAGGATAGCTCCGCCATTATTATAGGAGGGGCTAGATGCATGACAGTCGTGGAGACAGGATAGCTCCACCATTAGTATAGGAGATGCTAGCTCTATCAAAGTCATAGAGGCAGGATAGGTCCACCATTATTATAGGAT